TCCACTCACTGTTCGTCCTTCTCCAGACCCTCCTCTTCCTGCCCCCCCCCACTGTATGGAAAACTCCAGAATTCCTTTTCCTTTACTGCCTCTGTCAGAGTCGATCAGGTCGGTTTACTACCCCTGCACTGAGGAGGAAGGACGAGAGGACGGGGTCGGACCTCAGTGACTTGGACTGATCGTCTGATAATCCGTCGTCAACAGATCGACCACAGATACCACTGCAGTTCCAGGCCAACCTGCAGGGGGAGTCGCTTAGAAGTCGTTACTGTTGTTGCATCTTGTTCAAATTATAAAAAAAAAAATACACGGATGGAGGGAGTTACAGAAGGACACAGATGCAGTGTGAGGACAGAGGAAGAGGCCAACGGGTTCATACAGTCTGCTGCACCTTTTCTTTTGCGAGTTTCCATTGGTACAGTTTGTTTGCAGAGTTTTAAATAAGTGCAAGTGAGATGACAAAACCCCATTTGAAGCTCTGTTATTGATAGTAGTAACAGGAGAATTCATAATAGATTTTAAATCCTTGTCCTTCTCAATGTGAAACACTGAGTCCAGATTCACAACAGACCAACAAAATCCAGTCTTTGTTTCCCTGAGACTTCACTGATGAAGCTGCTGATCAAGATGATCTGGACCACGTCAGACTGGACCACGTCAGACTGGTGTTTGGTCCACATCAGACTAATGTGGACCAAACACCTCCTCCTGGACCTTCAAGGCTTCAAGGCTTCAAGTTTCAAGGCTTCAAGGCTTCAAGGCAAACCAGAACCAAGTCATTGAAACTGAGCATTATGGGCTGTCAGCTGTAACAGCATCACCAGGACGGAGGTCCGAGGGTCTCCACCAGGACGGAGTTCCGAGGGTCTCCACTGATGGAAACGTGTGTGTGTGTGTGTGTGTGTGTGTTCCTTCCTGCCTCTGAATAACTTTGTCTTTTATTAGAAACTCAGGATCAGGAATAATTCAAGGTAGACAAGTTCAGATAAACCTAACCCTCACCCGGGGGGATAAATGTCACCTCCTGTTGATCACCCCCCCCCCCCCCCCCCCCCCCCCCCCCCCCCCCCCCCACCCCTGACAGACTGACGTCACCTGTCTCTCCGTCTGTCTCCGTCTCTTGTCCTCCAGGACCTGGACTGTCTGCAGGTCCAGCTGCAGGAGGAGCGTTTCTTTGACCTGTTTGGATACAGTGAACAGCAGGGGGCGTGGCTGTGCTTCATGTGTAACAACCCAGAGAAGGCCACAGGTACACACACACACACACACACACCTGTGGTGGAGCGTCTCAGTTCCAGGTGAAGTTAGCGATGGTTCGGTGAATTTCCTAAACCAACCACAGGGGGGCGTGGTGTTTTCAGCCTCAGTTCTCGACTCTTGGTTGAGTTTCTCTGGGGATCGATGTGAAAACTGTGGTGAAGGTTCTGTTGGATGGTTTCAATCACCGTGGATCAGAGGAACGTTCTTTTTTCCCACCCGTCTTCGGGGACGTCGCTCCGTCTCTTCAGCTGCCAACGCTTGTTGTCGTGTCTCAGAGGACAACAGCCGTGACTCACAGACAGAAACAGACAAACAGACAAACAGACAAACAGACAAACAGACAAACAGACAAACAGACCGCGTCAGCGTTTTCTACAGAAACCCAGATCTTGGAAATGAGCTGTGAGCTCAGCACCGCCCCCTCCTGGTCGCTCCTCCTCCTCTCTCAGTGTGTGACGACAGGTGAAACACCACAGTCAGACACTCTGGCCTGGGGGGGGGAGAGAGGGGTGAGGTGAGAGGGGGGGGCTTCAGAGAAAGTTAACGACCGTCACAGTTCCATGCTGTTCACTGCAGCTGCAGTTGTTTTTACCTCAACCACCGGAGGACATTTTGTTGATCAGGACGGAAACAGTGGACGAGACGCAGTTAATATTTACTGCCTGCACGTGTGTGTACTCTGTGGGTACTCTGTGTGTACTCTGTGTGTACTCTGTGGGTACTCTGTGGGTACTCTGTGGGTACTCACATGTATGTGCTGTGTAGCTGAACCAGTCCAGATCAGAGCTGAGTCCATAAATGGTTGGATGGATGGATGGATGGATGAATTCCTGGGAAAGATTCCATTGTATTTCGTCCGACCAGAACTGCTTCTCTCCAGTGAACAGACTTTTGACTTTGATCCTGGTCCAGGTCCTGGTCGAGGTCCAGGTCCAGATCCAGGTCCTCAGTGGTTCATGTACATGAAGGTTCTTGGAGAGGATGAAAACATTCCTGAAGTTTGTGACTCATCCAGTGGACGTGGTCCACCTGGACGTGGTCCACCTGGACGTGGTCCACCTGCAGTGGGGTCACAGTGACCCCAGTGAGTCATAGCACTGCAGCAGATCCAGTGAGTCAGACCTGTGACCTGGGCTGATTTAGGGTGACCCACTTTTATGTCCACTGGGGGGGGGGACACAGCAGCAGCTTGGGGACCGTGGACGTTTGACTCTGGACTTTAATCAAAAACTTGCTGAGTTGGCACAAGTCGCTCACTGTGATCACGACAAAACTACACACGTGTTCGGAGGTGGCTGTGTGTCAGTGTGTGTGTGTGTGTCAGTGCGTGTGTGTGTGTCAGTGTGTGTGTGTGTCAGTGTGTGTGTTAAAGGTAAAGTGTTTCCATTCTTGAGGCAGCGACTGCTTCCACGATCTTTATGAGACGCTGTTGACTTTTACTGCAGGAATGTCTTTGAAGATGGTGGTAATGAGCAGAGACACGTGTGTGTGTGTGTGTGTGTGTGTGTGTGTGTGTGTTTGATACGTCCTCCTCAGAGTTTCTGGCAGTTTTTTTCTCTACAGTCTCCGACCCAAACTCTGGACCTTCGCAGTATCAAATACACAGATAGTATTCAGCAGGTATTTGTAGGAGCATGAAGTTTTTCCAGGGGAACGTTGATTGAAGCGTACAGGAAGTAGGAGAAAACACTTGGACCACTCTGATTGGCTGTCAAACATTTGAGACGTTGCTGCAGGTTCTGACCTGTGAGAACGTTCTTTCCTGGGACTCAGGTTCACGTCAGAGGACTGGTTCCTGCTGGGCCTCAGTGGAGGGGGGGGGGGGGGGGGGGGGGGAGTGGGTACGCAGGGGTGACACGCTGCTGGTTTACGAGGGCAGTTACGCAACTTCACGCTGTTACCAACAACTAGTTTGTGACTCCGAGCGTGAGCGTGTGTCGGGCTGTGAACTTCAGCGCCGGCCTCAGGCCCACAACAAATCCCGGGGTCACTTTCCAGGTGTCGCCCTCAAAACACAAGGTGCGAAGATTTATGTAACAGACACGTTTACGTCTGCAGCCAAAAATGTTTTGTGGCGACAGAGACGAGTCGACAGGCGCTGAGGAGACGGAGACTCTGATTGGTGTGAGGAGGAGGTTCACATCCTGGTGTGTCAAACGGTACAAATGTAGATCCACGTTAGCCTAGCTGAGTCACAGTCATGGATGACATCATCACTTCCTAAAATGTCCTCCTGTGGAGAAGTGATTTACAGACTTCTGGTCCAGGTTCTGTCTTCAAACCAACAACCACCAGTTTAGCGTTACATCTGATCATAGTGTAGCTGTGGATTAACACCATTATTGATGACTAGTTAAGGTCAACTCTGATGGTGATTAATCACCACTGATCCACAGTAATTATCAACGACTGTACTGCAGTACCAGAGAAGAGGTCGTTTGGTGATTCACTTGATTGGTTTTCCCTGTTTGGCATCTGTTTCCACTGTGACTCATCTTTTACAGCATGGAAACACACACACACACACACACACACACACACACACACTGTGTGTGTGTGTGTGTTGTGTTCATTATGTTCTGATGAAAACATGGCTGTTGACTGGAAGTAGGAACGTTCTGGAACAATTTCATGCAAATGTTCTTTAAATTGCTCCAAGGTTTGAGAATCAGTCACAAAGGAAAGTAGTCGTTCCTCCATCAGAACCAGT